AAACAATTTATGATTATTATTGGGTTTCATTACTTAAATTTGTTATCAATACTTCACTCTTCCAGTTCTTATATCGTTAAATGTTTGATTGATAAATCTCCCGATTGTTCTGGACATCTTGCACAAACACATATTCTTAGAAGACATTTTTATTTCAAAACTCGTCTATCTCTTTGTTTCTCATAACTTACATATCACATACGCACAATTATATTTCACAATTTAAATCGTATTCTTTGAAATGTATGACAATTCCAGTATAATGACTACACAAGTGATCAACATGCTTAAAATGGTCATTTACCCATGATGAAGATAAGTCCACTTTCTCAAATCACTTGGTTTTATTGTATTTCTTTTCATATGCTTACTTTTTTGTGTTGATCCCATGTGCTTTTGAATATCATGAGAGATACTATGTTTAGAGCTGAGTGATTAAATTGATTAATCATAATAATGATCACCTATGAGCAGTTATTATATCAAAATTATGATTAAATCAATTAAGTGAAAATAATAAACTGACTGAAATTAGTAATTATTATTTCAAATTATTCTAACAGTCGATTAATCAAAACTCCAATTGCATCAACTGCTACAAAAATAATCAAATTTGGTGTTTCTAGTCATTACTGTTTCCTATTATTCCAATAATCGATTAATCAAAATTACAACGAAATCGATTGTCATGAAAATAATCAAAAATCTTGAAATTAGGATTTCTGATTATTACGGTATTCAATTATTCCAACTATACAAGTAACCAAAATATTGTTATGTTTGTTGTTAAGCACAAAACTTCACAGTGGACTATTTGTGTTCTGCCCAATTTTATCCTTTGGTTTTTTAATTTCAAGTTTGTTCAGCTTTGGTGATTTGTGGGCTCATGAATCAGGGGTATAGGGCTCAATTCCCCATTGCCAACAAACTTGTTTGCCCTGTTTTTGTTATGACAAATCTACTGAGAGCATATACCACTGTTACTAAATTTGAACTGCTGACTAGAGGGAAGGCAACTAACTGTCTGGCTGCACATGCCATCAACCTTTTTATTTTTCTTGAACTACCAACTTTTTTATTGGAACTGCTGTCTAGAGGGAAGGCAATTGGCTCATGGCACCCACTTCCAGTATTTTATTTTCTTTTTGAACTTCTGACTACGATGAAGGTGAAGACAAATAACTAACAGCACCTGCAACCAATTTTTTTTTAATTGTACAAACCACTGTTGGACAAAAACAGGATTAATGGGGCTGTTGATTAATTAATCAGGAAATACCACTAATCAACAGATTAGTAAACAAGAGATTTAAAAATTAATGGAAAATTTATTTCTTGATGTATATCACTAATTTATATATTAGACATGTTTTTGTTATATCTATCCTTTCTAGTATATTTGTAAATTTTTTTTTCTTAGTTCTTTAAACATGTAAAATTTGTACTTGCCTATCTTTGTCATTTTTTTGGGCAGGCCTAGGATCCTTGTTTTTGCCCTGTTAGAGCATTAGTATAGTATGTTGCATCAAGTTTCTGTGAACATGACACTTCCATAAAGCGGGAACTATGACCTTTTTTTAATCCATTTTAACATTGTTTTATCTTTACACCACTGGAAGTGATCTCACCAAAACAATATTTGAACCTTTTTACTTTCTTTCTGTGTATATTTCCTTGGATCTGGATACGACTTATTCTGAATAAACAGAGTTGTTTAAACATTTGTCTTCAAATACCTATAGAATGATAGGCTTCTTTTTTGTTAGTGAAAAACACTTAAATACACCAGTTCGATAACTTATTCTCCATTTTGAAGCTTTTTTTACTCGTTGTTATAACAATTTAAGTTGTTTTTTTTTCTTCTTCTTTTATCCATTGTTTTTAGGGATCCTGTTCTTTACTTTTGAATTTTATGTCACATCAGTAATATGATTTTTCTTCAAGGTGTTTGTCTGTGGCTTCATGGTTGATTATTTTCAAATTTGCTCCTAGTGATGATGTTTTCTTGTCAGGGTATTTTGACTTTAACTCTTTTTTTTTTTGTTCTGTGCCTTATGAATTGTTATTTGTTTGCATTGGACCATATGTTGTTGGAACCCTTATACTCTTATGAATACTATCAGTGGCTTTTATATCTGTCATGCCTGGAGCTTCACTTATATGTCCTGTTAAAATTCTACATCCATGGGTCTGAAAAATGTATGGATATATAACATTTTGCTCTTCTGGGCTTGGAAAAGCTCCTTTGAATTTTGTTTCAGTGCTGGAAACTGGGAAAAATAAAAATAATGATAGTCATAGTAGCTAAGAAGTGGTCTTTAATAAATTTATTGGCATTTCGTCTGCTCTCATCAAGTCTATTAGCTGTGGTTGAACTGGTGAGTAGGCACGTAGAAAAATTTATAATTTTGGGAAAAATAATTTTAAACCTAAATTACAGTTTGAAGTCATTTTTCAAATTGTGGTCAGGTTCAGTATTTCCCTAATGTCTAATTTGAGTGGATTATTTTGTGTATGTGTAGAAATCCACATTATAATTTTCTTCTTCTAATAACAGTACTTGTAGTTCAATATTTGGTTTTCTCATTTTTCAAATTGTGGTCAGGTTCAGTATTTCCCTAATGTCTAATTTGAGTGGATTATTCTGTGTATGTGTAGAAATCCACATTATAATTTTCTTCTTCTAATAACAGTACTTGTAGTTCAATATTTGGTTTTCTCATTTTTTAAATTGTATTTTATTATGATGTAAACAAAATAATTTTGTAGATTTTATTCTCATCCTTTTTTCAAAAGCAAATAAAAATATAAAAAAAAGTAAAAGGTATTGAAGGCTTGTGAATTAGTTCTATAATTTCCTGAGTAAGGTCCTGTTGAAGGTTTTATAGCTGATAATTAGCAATTTTGTTCAACTATTAATTGCTAAGGATACTGTTGCTGTATGAAAATTGCAATTATTTATTTTTCATTTCTATGGGAAAAATACATTATTTATTGTTAAAAATTAAGTTCTAAAATAAACATTATCTATTCTGTTCGTTTAAGCTACAAAACAATACTTTAGTGTCATCTGCTAAAATTCCTCCTTAAAGATTTTAAAAATTACTGTTGTGTGTTTTGTTCATTTTATAAACACTTTAGGGAGGTGAATTGACCAACTTTGTTTCTTATTAGTGATTATGTTGGTTGACACCCATGTTTTTTGGTACCTTTAATACATAATTTATGATGGTTTCAAAAAAAAGGAATATCTTTTGGAAGACATGCTGGATTATGGTAATAAAATAATCAGTTAAAAATTCAAATAAAGAGTTGAACTGCATGTCATGTTTTTTTCTGTTTAATAATTTATCAAAAGATGGAGAAAAACGAATGGATAATTATGCACGAAGTATTTAATTTAGTTACTGATAAGCCTAAATTGTCTTTGAAAACTGCTTAATGGTCCTGAAAAAGTTGTGGAATTTTGTCAACCCAAACATATAGGAACCACATCCATCATGTTCTTTACTAGCATGGAAAGGGTCTCTTTTCAGTTTTTGTTTGGATGTTGTCCAATGCACTATTCTACCAGTTCCTAAGATCAAATGTTATATTCATTAATGTTGTAGAATTAACCATACCATGGCTTTACTCATTGATTACATTCCCATTGGGAGGGCTATTCGTAAAAGTTGTGAACCCTTGGTTCTGGAATTTAAACAGATTATTGGTTATTTCTTTCTTCACTTCATCAAGTCTGAGTGTAAAAACTGATCTGAACATCTAATACAAGTCAGTAGGTTACTAACTGAATAATTATCAAGGTAGCATTGAAATAAAAATTTATAGAAGATTAGCTATTGATGTATCTTTGTTTACTGTTAAAGACCTAATTTAGTTATTGTGTTTCTTTCTAAAAATGGATATCTAAATGTGTAGAGCATATATATGGTTCCTATCTCATGAAACATACTGTAAGATGTAAGTTAGTATAAGGACATAAGTTTTTTTTTCTTCAGATAAAGCTGGAGATCAAGTAGGTATCGAAACAGAAGTAAGAATGGAAGTTTGTGATGGAAGAGAAAATACTAAAGAATTGGCATCAGATGCTAGTGTAGAGAAAAAGAAGCAGCAAAAGAAACTGCATAAACTAGGTATGTTTTTAGAAATTAAATGTGTATTAAGTTTAAAGAGAAAACTGTTGTTTTGAAGTGCATTTAACTTTGTAATATCTAAACCAGCTCCTGGATGAAATTAATATAATTTTTAGTATCTTTATTGTCTGTAATGGATTTATATGTTTTAAATGAAATCATTCAATTACCCTAGTAAACTAATGAAAAATAATTTATTTAAATCACTTGTGAAAAATATATGTATATGCCTGTTATATTTTAAGATGAAAATGAAACAAAGCACTTAAGATAGGTATAAGATAACATGTTAGAGCTATGGTTTATGTGGATTTTTATATACCAGGCTTCAGTGCAATTAATAGCATTAGATTTAAACATTAAACTGTATAATGATTAATTTGTTGAAACTTTGCATTGGCAAATTTATTATGTAAAAAGATAAGTGTACCCATCTCAATATTATGCAAATGTCTTATATTATTCTATCATCATTGTTTCTCTGATTTATTGATATTTTATTGTCCAAGGAATTGGTGGGTTTGTTGCAAGACAAAGGTGTAGAAGTCTTTCATCAAAAGAGCAAGCAGGTGAACACATTTCTGTTGTTCAAGGCAAGAATTTTTATTTTATTTATTTGTCTTTAGTGTTTAACAAAAAATTACAGAATATTATCCAAACAGCTTAGTATAAAAATCTGATTTTGGACTATTTAAAAAACTTCTTAACGTAAATTTTTTTGTCCTTATTGTTTGGATCAGTTACTCTTGCAAACCTGACTAAAAGGAAGTTTTTTTTAAAGTGCTTGTTTAAAAGAAAGAAATTTTTTTCTTATCTTTACAGAACAAACAGATGGGTTAAGAGTTGGAGAGGTTTCTACACCTGTTGCAGGAGAGTCGCATGTTGAACTGCCACAGCCATTTCAGCAAAAACCAAAGCGAAGACGAAGGGTGAGAAAGAAAAATCCTCTCCAAGAAAGTTTCCCATCATATTTGCAGGTATTTGCTAGAATGTTCATATTTTGTTTTTTTTACTTTGTGTTAATTGTAGAATCTATTGTGTGTAAATTTCTGTGAACGAAATAATTATTTAACAACTTCTTCCACAATAATTGCTAAAATTGTCAATAAAAATCACACTTGATAATAGTTATTCTTTATTATGAGCAATGGGCACATCAAAATAACCTTTTTGTGGTTTTTTTTGGAGGCATTTTTGGGCTTGTCTAACAAATTACTAAGTGCCAAAGCAGAATTGTCGCATACTATGCTACACGTACCATGCCTATCACAATTGGCCAATATAGTTATTACTATACGAGGAGGAATTTAATGTAACATACTAAAATATTTACTACTATAAACAACTAAAATGCATATTGAATTGACAAGATTTATTAATGTAAATTGCATAAATACATATCTTGTTTAGTATGTGCCAAGTTCTAGTTAGATATCCACAGAACAGTAGAACAACTTGTGTATATGACCTCTCATGCTTTTGGATGGGTTTTGCTTATTATATATTATTATATTTCTGTCAGAACTTGAATAATAGATCTCGGATTAGTAAGTTCTATGCTTTTATCAATAAATGGAACAACAAGGAATACTTTCCTGTTACTTTTGTTACACGTTTCAGGTTTACTTGGAAAATCCACTGACTAGTAACATGTTGTAGCTAATTCAAATTGTTTACAAACATCTATGGAGTTTACTTTCAAATTGATTGGAAGGCCTTGTAATGTAACATAAAGCAAAAACAGACCTTTTGTTTGAATTATTAAAAGTAATTATCTCCTAAGATTAATGGTGTGTTAGTCCTTTTAGTTCTGTGTTTTGTACCGTAACTATGGGGGATAACATTTGATAGGTTGAGAAAAATAAAGATTTGTTGAAAATTTGTAGTTTTGAGAAGTGTTACCTTCTCTTTTACGTAAATATGATTTAAGGATGTTTAAATGTTAGCTTCAGTGAAAGCCTTAGTAAGTTAAAGCTGTGATCTAAATAGATATGTTTTATGGTGTACTAGAAATTTAAAACTAATATTATTCTGTCCATTTTTATTTAAGAACTGTAACTTCAAGACATTAGTCATTATGTGGTTAAATTAAATTTTGTTTTAAATTTACCTTCAAATTACATATTCTTGTTTTTACACTGTTCTTTAGCATTGGGATCCTTCTCATATTAAGTAATTTTGTTACGATATTAATATTAAAGAACTGACCAAAATGTTGGATGGAATCAATCATTTTCTTATTATTTGCACTAATTAATAAGGCACCCCAGCAGTAATTAGTGGAATTTATTATAGTATTGATGATTGCTTTTGTTTAAATCTTTTTTAAGACTTGCATTTTACCAGCGATCCCCAAAATATTGATTGTTTTGATGTATATTTTTTAACATTTGCTTTGGATAAAGTAATGTATAAAAAATTCAGACTGCTAAGCCTAATTAAAATTTATATCCCACCTATTTTAATTTTTATTTGGATAGTGCAAGTAGTTAAAACTTCTTACCTGCATAGATAACACTTGACAACATATGAAACAAAGCTCCAAATCTGTGGTTTTATACATGTCGCTTATTTTTAGCCCAAATACTTTGATAACAGTGAATTTTGGAAGTTAGTGTTGTGGAAAACTATAAAATTCTGTGGACTGCAGTTTTTATTTTAAAACTTCCATTCTTTTAAAGTTAACTCTCATAAATATATACCACCAGAAAGCTGGAATAATTTTCTTTCTCGTGCAATCTGTTGGCCACTAAGCTCCCTTTCATTTGTGTAGCATAAATTTCTAAAGATTTAGTTATTTTAATTGATTGTGTGCTTTCAGATAATCTAACTGTCATGGTTTTGTATGTTATGTAAAGCTATGTAATTTTTAAAATAAACAGAAAAGTAAGTTTTATAAATAAGATATAATATGATAACTGCAATCTATATTTATAACTTAAGATATTCTGCTGCTACATTTTTTCAACAAGGTAGGCTGGTGCATGAGGTTGTTATTCTGTGATTGTATTACTGTAATAAGTGTGTGTGTGTGTGTGTGAAACAAGGTTTTTAACATGCGTTTACAGGTATTATGCTTAATGGCATAGTGTGCAGCTAAGATACAGTTTTTATTTCATAATAAATTTTTAATTTATCAAAAAAATTTATTCATGTTCAAAAAAATGCTCAACTTTTATCGTGCTTTATGTTTGAAGAATCTGTGTTTCAGATATTGTTTTGAGTATTAGTTACTGATTTTTCTCAACGTAAATGCAGAAAAGGCTACTATAATGCAGAAAAGGCTGAAAGGAGTTGAAAGCCAATGAAGTACATATCATAGAGTTGAAAATTGTATAGTTGTTTTGTTAATCGTATATAATGGATAACGTTATTTGTATATATGTGTGTGGGAGTGTTTATTAAAGCCAAAATATACAAATACTTGTAAACTTTATAATCAGAAATAATTATACTAACAAGATTTTTATTTTTTAGTATTGTCATTTTAAGGTTTTAAAAAATTCTTTAAAAGAAGCATTTTGGGAAACAACTTACTGTTTTTCATTTGTATTTTAAAGTTGTTCATTCATAATTAGGCAGATAGCTACATTTAATAAACAAAAAAGTAGATGTAAAAGTGTAAAACTAAATTTAAACATTTTTAATTCAAAATATTTTAAAATATTACATGGCAGTTGTTAGACATTGTTTTTTCATTGGGTAAGGAAGTTTTGTGTAACAAATAAACACCGCTAACTACAAAATGTAGTGAGCTTATTTCAGAACTTTTAAATGTTTGTAGTAACAATATTACAGGTGTTTCATCATATAAAAAAAAATTTAACGATCCCTTTTTGTTTTCTCAGGAAGCATTCTTTGGGAGAGAACTGTTAGACACTTGTAAAAGTGAAAGTTCTTTTGAGATATCAGCTGATGAATCATCTAGTATACCAACTATAAATCAAGATAAGACTGTTATGTCATTGATATCTCCAACTAGTCTCTCCGATGAGGCACTGAGTCTTCAAATAAGTACCAGTAATGCATCCAGTTTGGGTGGAACATTCTACAGTACTGCATCTTATACTGAAGCATTACCTGAACCGATGACTTTTTCATCTGCTAGCTTTTCAAAAATGTTGACTTCCATGTTGCCTGAAAATCAGGAAGAAGAAGAAGAAAAGCACATCTTGCAAGAAAAGAATACATCTCCATCAAAAGTAAAATCTGATTATCATTTACATTATAAAAATTCCAGTACTGTTATAGAGGTTTCTGTAGATTTTTCAGATTTTCAATCCAGTCTTTTTATATTAACCAATCACTATTTTCTAATTTTGTTTTTTAAGCCCTTATCTGAATATATTAATAATTAAAACAACTTTATGTTATATTTGGCAGCTATACTACTTCTAAGATTTAAGTCAAGTTTTAAACTTTAAAGTTTATTCCAAATCTTGTTGCAAAATTATGAGATAGTGTAAAAATGTGTTTTTAATATTTAATTTTGGACATATTTATTTATTTGTGTAGTTTATTAACAAACATTTATATGTTTGAAACTTATTCATTTTAAAAAGCTCCCCCTGTGGCACAGTGGTATGTCTGCAGTCTTACAACACTAGAAACTGTGTTTCGATATCCGTGTCAGGCAGAGCACAGATAGACCATTGTGTAGCTTTGTGCTTAATTACGAAGAACCAACCAACATTTTCAAAACTTTTGGTAGACAGTGAAGTCAAACTGTTATATATAAAATTTATTTGTTTTTTTTTTGTCATTGCATAGTGAACAGTTATCTTTTGTAGTCATAATTATGGACGTTTAAAATAGAAAAGTAGAGCATTACAAAAATATTTGACTGCTTTTGTACAATGAGGCTATGTTCTGTACTTTCTGACTTTGTGTGTGTTCTAAGATACTTCAAAGGCATCAAGATTTGTTTTGCCTTTCTGGTCTGGGTGTTACTTGTCTCGTAACAATTATTTGTTTCAGGTTTGTACATTTAGCTTTGTATTTTATATAATCAGAAATTATAAGGTCTATGAACTTGCCCTTGTTTTAGAATGTTTTCTCATCCTCAAGCTATTTTTACAATAAAACATTACTATATAGGCTTTCTTTGATAGATTACTTAGGCAGAGTATTTATGATGAAAC